TTAACAGTAACGAGAGAACTGACAATACCAAGTGTTTAACAGTAACGAGAGAACTGACAATACCAAGTGTTTAACAGTAACGAGAGAACTGACAATACCAAGTGTTTAACAGTAACGAGAGAACTGACAATACCAAGTGTTTAACAGTAACGAGAGAACTGACAATACCAAGTGTTTAACAGTAACGAGAGAACTGACAATACCAAGTGTTTAACAGTAACGAGAGAACTGACAATACCAAGTGTTTAACAGTAACGAGAGAACTGACAATACCAAGTGTTTAACAGTAACGAGAGAACTGACAATACCAAGTGTTTAACAGTAACGAGAGAACTGACAATACCAAGTGTTTAACAGTAACGAGAGAACTGACAATACCAAGTGTTTAACAGTAACGAGAGAACTGACAATACCAAGTGTTTAACAGTAACGAGAGAACTGACAATACCAAGTGTTTAACAGTAACGAGAGAACTGACAATACCAAGTGTTTAACAGTAACGAGAGAACTGACAATACCAAGTGTTTAACAGTAACGAGAGAACTGACAATACCAAGTGTTTAACAGTAACGAGAGAACTGACAATACCAAGTGTTTAACAGTAACGAGAGAACTGACAATACCAAGTGTTTAACAGTAACGAGAGAACTGACAATACCAAGTGTTTAACAGTAACGAGAGAACTGACAATACCAAGTGTTTAACAGTAACGAGAGAACTGACAATACCAAGTGTTTAACAGTAACGAGAGAACTGACAATACCAAGTGTTTAACAGTAACGAGAGAACTGACAATACCAAGTGTTTAACAGTAACGAGAGAACTGACAATACCAAGTGTTTAACAGTAACGAGAGAACTGACAATACCAAGTGTTTAACAGTAACGAGAGAACTGACAATACCAAGTGTTTAACAGTAACGAGAGAACTGACAATACCAAGTGTTTAACAGTAACGAGAGAACTGACAATACCAAGTGTTTAACAGTAACGAGAGAACTGACAATACCAAGTGTTTAACAGTAACGAGAGAACTGACAATACCAAGTGTTTAACAGTAACGAGAGAACTGACAATACCAAGTGTTTAACAGTAACGAGAGAACTGACAATACCAAGTGTTTAACAGTAACGAGAGAACTGACAATACCAAGTGTTTAACAGTAACGAGAGAACTGACAATACCAAGTGTTTAACAGTAACGAGAGAACTGACAATACCAAGTGTTTAACAGTAACGAGAGAACTGACAATACCAAGTGTTTAACAGTAACGAGAGAACTGACAATACCAAGTGTTTAACAGTAACGAGAGAACTGACAATACCAAGTGTTTAACAGTAACGAGAGAACTGACAATACCAAGTGTTTAACAGTAACGAGAGAACTGACAATACCAAGTGTTTAACAGTAACGAGAGAACTGACAATACCAAGTGTTTAACAGTAACGAGAGAACTGACAATACCAAGTGTTTAACAGTAACGAGAGAACTGACAATACCAAGTGTTTAACAGTAACGAGAGAACTGACAATACCAAGTGTTTAACAGTAACGAGAGAACTGACAATACCAAGTGTTTAACAGTAACGAGAGAACTGACAATACCAAGTGTTTAACAGTAACGAGAGAACTGACAATTCCAAGTGTTTAACAGTAACGAGAGAACTGACAATACCAAGTGTTTAACAGTTTTAGGAGAACTGACAATACCAAGTGTTTAACAGTAACGAGAGAACTGACAAAACCAAGTGTTTAACAGTAATGGGAGAACTGACAATACCAAGTGTTTAACAGTAACGAGAGAACTGACAATACCAAGTGTTTAACAGTAACGAGAGAACTGACAATACCAAGAGTTTTACAGAAACGAGAGAACTGACAATACCAAGTGTTTAACATTAACGAGAGAACTGTCAATACTAAGTGGTTAACAGTAACGAGAGAACTGACAATACCAAGTGTTTAACAGTACTGAGAGAAATGTCAATACCAAGTAGCTAACAGTAACGAGAGAACTGACAATACCAAGAGGTTTACAGAAACGAGAGAACTGACAATACCAAGTGTTAAACATTAACGAGAGAACTGTCAATACTAAGTGGTTAACAGTAACGAGAGAACTGACAATACCAACTGTTTAACAGTAACGAGAGAACTGACAATACCAACTGTTTAACAGTAACGAGAGAACTGACAATACCAACTGTTTAACAGTAACGAGAGAACTGACAATACCAAGTGTTTAACAGTAACGAAAGAACTGACAATACCAAGTGTTTAACAGTACTGAGAGAAATGTCAATACCAAGTAGCTAACAGTAACGAGAGAACTGACAATACCAAGTGTTTAACAGTAATGGGAGAACTGCCAATACCAAGTGTTTAACAGTACTGAGAGAACTGTCAATACCAAGTAGTTAACAGTAACGAGAGAACTGACAATACCAAGTGTTTAACAGTACTGAGAGAACTGACAATACCAAGTGTTTAACAGTAAAGAGAGAACTTACAATACCAAGTGTTTAACAGTAACGAGAGAACTGTAAATACCAAGTGGTTAACAGTAACGAGAGAACTGACAATACCAAGTTTTTAACAGTAAAGAGAGAACTGACAAAACCAAGTGTTTAACAGTAACGAGAGAACTGACAATGCCAAGTGTTTAACAGTAACGAAAGAACTGACAATACCAAGTGTTTAACAGTACTGAGAGAACTGTCAATACCAAGTAGTTAACAGTAACGAGAGAACTGACAATACCAAGTGTTTAACAGTACTGAGAGAACTGTCAATACCAAGTGTTTAACAGTAACGAGAGAACTAACAATACCAAGTGTTTAACAGTAACGAGAGAACTAACAATACCAAGTGTTTAACAGTAACGAGAGAACTGTCAATACCAAGCGTTTAACAGTAACGAGAGAACTGACAATACCAAGTGGTTAACAGTACTGAGAGAACTGACAATACCAAGTGTTTAACAGTAACGAGAGAACTGACAATACCAAGTGTTTAACAGTAACGAATGAACTGACAATTCCAAGCGTTTAACAGTAACGAGAGAACTGACAATACCAAGTGTTTAACAGTACCGAGAGAACTGACAATTCCAAGNTAGCAACGAGAGAACTGATAATATCAAGTGTTTAACGGTAACGAGAGAACTGACAATACCAAGTGTTTAACAGTAATGGGAGAACTGACAATTCCAAGTGTTTAACAGTACTGAGAGAACTGTCAATACCAAGTGTTTAACAGTAACGAGAGAACTGGCAATACCAAGTGTTTAACAGTAACGAGAGAACTTACAATACCAAGTGTTTAACAGTAATGGGAGAACCGACAATACCAAGTGTTTAACAGTAACGGGAAAACTGGCAATACCAAGAGTTTAACAGTAACGGGAAAACTGACAATACCAAGTGTTTAACAGTCACGTGAGAACTGACAATACCAAGTGTCTAACAGTAACGAGAGAACTGACAATACTAAGTGTTTAATAGTAACGAGAGAACTGACAATACCAAGTGTGTAACAGTAACGAGAGAACTGACAATACTAAGTGTTTAATAGTAACGAGAGAACTGACAATACCAAGTGTTAAACAGTAACGGGAAAACTGACAATACCAAGTGTTTAACAGTAACGAAAGAGCTGACAATACCAAGTGTTTAACAGTAATGGGAAAACTGACAATACCAAGTGTTTAACAGTAACGAGAGAACTGACAATACCAAGTGTTTAATAGTAACGAGAGAACTGACAATACCAAGTGTTTAACAGTAACGTGAGAACTGACAATACCAAGTGTCTAACAGTAACGAAAGAACTGACAATACCAAGTGTTTAACAGTAACGAGAGAACTAACAATACCAAGTGTTTAACAGTAACGAGAGAACTGACAATACCAAGTGTTTAACAGTTATAGGAGAACTGACAATACCAAGTGTTTAACAGTAACGAGAGAACTGACAATACCAAGTGTTTAACAGTAACGAGAGGACTGACAATACCAAGTGTTTAACAGTTACGGGAGAACTGACAATACTAAGTGTTTAACAGTAACGAGGGAACTGACAATACCAAGTGTTTGGCATACAATTTCCAGCTCGTAAAAAAACCCGTTAAAATGGGTCAAAGTACAAACTCGAAGTCGATTTGAAAGACAACAAGAGAATCTGACCAGACAAAAAAACGAAATGGAGGACATCATTAACCCCCGCCACAATCGGGAATCGTCGGAACTTTCCGTAAACGAGCAAACACTCGTTAAGGAAAGTGCCGACGGTTCCCGTCTGAGCGTTTTCTTTACCACATGTGGTATCTGTTAGGAGGTGACCCATCAAATCCAGTGCCGTAATTAGGTCACTAGCTATCCTAGACATTGTGAACAGGTCTTACTAGTAACAAAGGGTAAATCCTGAAATTTATTTTGTAGAAATCACGTAATGATGTCGGTTATAGTTTTGGTTTCAATCACACCAATATTACGAGTCATACAGGAAAATCACAAAACAACAGAAAATAACGATAAAAGTGTGGTTCTAATAGGGACTACATCTACTGTTACCTAGGAAAATGATAATAATTCTTGATAATTACTGGTAGGTATGTACCATGTAGAATGTGTATATGTTGTTTGTACGTTATATACAATACATCTGGAGAGAGATTTAACATTTCGCACCTGTCATGTCTATTAAGAAGCTGCCCGGGGCCTGTGATATAAATATTTTTTACGAGTAAATCTCCTGCATCAAGGTTACTTATACATTTATATTGCGCAACCTTAAATTTTGCGATCTGACCTTTTCGTACCTTTTCACTCAGCTTGAAAGCGATTATTGCTTTAAAGGTGTTTGATAGATAAAAAAATAATTGAATTCACGATCAATACACAAAGCATGCACTAAAATAAATATCACACGAAAAATAAACACTCTACACCCTCTGCAAAACTATGTCTGTACGGTGATCATGGTGTCCTTTAAATTTTTGTAGATGGAAGAAGGATGGAAGGACGGGTATGCATTGTGGGGAGATTGTTTTGTGTTCGTGTATTCCATAACGGACAAGGACAGTTTTGATGAAATCATCAACATTAAGCGTCAGGTAGAAAACGTTCGCCATTCCACCGCCATTAGCGGTATCCTAGTGGGAAACAAGTCGGACTTGCTCCACGATCGTCAGGTTCCTGTAAACCATGGTATGGAATTGGCGGACGAAATTGGCTGTAAATTTTACGAGGTATCTGCCGCTGACTGGACACAGGTTTCCGTAATTTCGGACATGTTCCAAGACTTATTTCGCGAGTGTAGGCGAGCTAAAAACGCGCGTGAAGGAAGACAGCGGAAGGCGAGTTCGTCCGTTCGATTCAAACAGGCCATACAGAAAGTGATTTCCGGGAAGGCCCCAGCTCGGCGGACACTCAGTGCCTGATAGTGGTGGTGCAGAAAGAAGTTTTTATGTGATATTTATTTTAATTCCATGGATTATATTTTGATTAATAAATTCGATAATTTGGAGCATAATTCTATCAGCAATAACAACATCGATGTCTTACTACGCATGAGCAGTTTCCGCTTCCGGTGTCACACAACCCGCCAAACTGTTAAGGCAACATCATTTAAAGGTAAATATGGAGTGTATCATTTTGAAATTGAAGCAATACCTTGTTTATATTCAGACATAATGCCAATAAGACCACGCAATGTTCGTTTTGATCAATCTAATATATTTTAAATCCGGACGAAGCTGCCTCCAATTTAAAAAAAATAAATATTATATATACCGGCAATAATCCCTTGTAAAATAGATGACAAGTCCAGAGCATGTTGTTGCAGCAAAAGTTCACGTATCAAAATTGCATTTCGAGGGACTTACACTTTTTAATTCTTTCCTCATAGAATGCACTCAATACTGACACTTTACCAGTGGTTTGTAAAGGTCTTGACTGAACCAGTTTCGCATATGATAACAATGATATTAGTTGGAATAAACTGAAAAGTAACTGTAGTCAGATATTGGACCTTTGTTTTTTCAGAAATCACAGCGTTCGCCGACAGTCTCCCTGGTGGCTATGATAGGGAATCTGACAGAGTGCTGGTGTATACGGCAGTAGAGGAATCAGACGGTTATTCTCAACACTCGGGTCTGTTTATATCATGGACGTGTGGTCATTATTCACCAGCTTTCCGGAATGAATCATACAGGGAATTTGCAACTTTAGTTTTTCTTTCAATCTTGCGCACAAAGTACGCATATGTCACACGTATTTTTACAGCTGTGAACAAGTGCACGAGACGATGTGCTATTTTATACATGGGATACCACAGTCTGCATATCGTGTCGTTTTATACACGTGTCTGTGCTGTTTCATTTTCTCGCGTGGTGCATATGTGTAAAGATGTACAATGTTTCACTTCCTGCCTTAAACTGTTTTCAGAAGTTAGTTTACCGAAGACGAAATTTCTCAGTGTGTCGAATTACCGGTTTATGATACCCTGGAATAGACATATCGACATAATTTATGGAAAGCATGCGAATTTGTTCTGAAACGGACACAATGATAGTTTAAGGATGTATACTTTATCACAGTGTCTTATACCTCCTTGATCAGAAAGCTGAAAGTTACACAGGAATTGATGACGCAATAGAAATAACACAAGAATTGATGACAAGTTGACAACACTCGGGAAAATCTTACCAGATGGACTTATTAAAGGGAGATAACTCTTACCCGAAATCACGTATACGATTGTAAGTGGCATATACCCTTAAATGAATTAACACAGTGTCTCGACGAGGATGTGATGAGAAATATTCTGACGCGTGTACTAGAATTCCAGTTACTCTTGATTATAAATATCGGATACTGCTGATGTTTGTAGGATGATGGTGTTTGGATGAACAACAACGCTACGAAGTCTTTCATAGTTTGATGACGTGATCCCTTTTGTGTGACGCACATTTCTATTAACTATTATTGGTGTTCTTCTGACCTGTCTGGGACCTTAACGAGTGTGACAATATTAAGATTATACGAAACGGTGAGACTGAGTCAATTGTGAGTCCAAACAATTGGACAAAAAAAAGATATATAAGAAATAACGTCGAAATGATAATCCCACACCTCGTTTTGAACATGACAATGGCATCTTAGGCAGGTAACAAAAACACTTATCATGAAAATGGTCAGTTAAAAGTTGAAAGTAGGTAAGTTATTTATTTTGAAAGAGCTTAAAAGTTATCAGATAAATTCAATCATTTGACGATGGCCGTTCAGTGTGCTAGATCAAAGTATTTGCTTTTGAGACGACCTCTGCGGTGAAAATGTGATACGTTACTTACTGTGAGAGAGTTGATGATTAAAATTAATTTAACAAACATTCCGGTGTTCTGTTCATGGAGAATCAACACGAGATAATATTATTATTTTCACGAAAATTTGCTCCGAACAACATTTCACGAGGGCATGGGTTCACGAATGGCACTGTAATCCACAACATTGATGTTCCTTATTTTTAAATAAATACGTTTGGATATTTATTCGCGAGACATCTAACTTCAATATCTATCCACCTCGCGAAGAGTGACCACACTGCATTCAACCATGTCAAGGTCAAAGTTATAAGTCGAGAATAACATCTATACTCTTACTATGATTCAAAATATTTATCAAACAACGAAAATAAATGAACGTATATCTTCTTTTTCAAATCAGGATTTTTTTTATTGATGAATAACTGTTTAAATCCCTTAAAAACTAGAGAAACTCCGAAAAAATGTTGCCAACAGCTATATATATGGCTATTTAATTCAATTTTCTTAATGTTTGTTCTGTTGACATTTAAAATAGAAGTGTCAGGACAATTACAAACATATTTTCAAATTATTTTCTTACCCATCTCCAAAACGTCACCTGTTCTTGTCTGTCGGTGAAGTTTTTGCTTCTTCGAAACCCAAGTTTATATTGACAAAAATCACTTCATATTTTTTTTACCTTAATGACACTTCATTTAAATGGGTCCGTTTGTACTTCATTTTAATAGATTTGTTTTTTAAAATGCGATCCTGGATGGTACTCAAACAGTTTTTAATTTGTGTTTACCTGTTCGGGGAGATTTTTTGTAAACAATCGCCAACATTTCCCCTACATTCCTATGAACATACATTACACTTATCTACAAATCATTCAAAGAGCCTTCATGATCAGGGTTAGGCCTAGTGGACGCTTGAAAACAACAATTACCACACCGGAAGTAGCACTCGTATACATAACTAACTAGTTATTAACCTAAGATAAATCTATTTTCGTCAGTAACAACGACGTATCTGCTAATGTCAGTGCTCTAAACGGTTTGGCAAGGCACGTGCATTACTCACTCACACGAGAATGATAACAACATCCACCCAAGCCTCAAATTATCGGTGTGACAAAACCAACACGTGCCTTCTTTTGACAGTGAATGAATTGAACGAAACAATCTTAATTTAGAGTGAGAAACTATGGTTGTTGTGCGATGAATTGTATGTTAAAAAGTAAGTTTACATACATTGGAGATTCCAACAAACTTGTTTGGAGAAGAAAAAATACGACATACACAACGATGAGCAATGTCTCTTTTATTTTTTAGACAGTCACAATGGGTAAAAAACACATTTCACCAGTGGAACTGTAACTGCCTAGAATCTAACTAACGTGTGCCCGGAGATATATGAGAAACATATGTGCGATTTTGATACAATTCAATAAATCGCATGATAAAAGTAATTTCTATCAAATTTCCCTTCGGAAGCGGTTCGTGACCGTGACTTGTACATGACAATAGTACAAAGCTTATTGAAGACTTCCGAAGGTTTCGACTAGTTTATGAATGGACAACATGTGTAACGTGTGATACCCTAGCCTTTAGTAATATCTGTGAGGGAAACAGAAACAGGTGAGCATTGGCAGAGGACTACAATGATGTAAAGGCTATATTTATTGAACAACGCGAGGAAGAGAGATTATACGCTTATTTTAAAAGGTCTGTTATTTGATGACATGCCAAAAGAAACAGATATCACTCGTACAAATATAAAACTGCAGATCGTAAAACAGCTGACAAACAACACAAGTACACACATTAAGCATCGATCACTTACTAGAGTTAACACATAAAGAAACACCTCAATTAACACTAAACGGATCACAAACAGCACTATTTATATAACCATCGATACATGGTACAGTAATACTATCCGGTGAAGTCATATTTTTGTTCTGAATGCAATTGAATGCAATTGAATGAAGTGTCATTTTGCATCCCTCTCCTCCTGCCTCGACTAGCGTGAAACCATTGTAAGAAACAAACGGTTAGGTGACGTTATGCTGTTCCAGGAATGTTGTTACATGAATGACGATACAGATACTTAAATAGGCCTGCCGTAGATACTATTGAACATTAAATTTAACAGAAAACAACGCGAGATTCATCAAATTACTCATGAATGCAATATGGAGCCAACACATTTGCATGTATACCTGCATGAATGTCAAAAAGATTTGTACAATCCTTATATTCGCTCAATGCAATATTATACAATTATGGACTTTTGTGCTGGTGAATATGATGTGATATGAACCTGAAAGAGTGATATTAACCGAGACGAAGCCGACGTCAATATCACTTTTTCAGGTTCATATCAGATCATATTTACCACCACAAAAGCCCATAACTGTTTTATTATATGATTCAACAATAAAATAAAACAAAACAAAACTCAAGGTTCTGATTTTTGTACGCGAGCCTCCGTGTAAAATTTAGCCAGGTTTGAATTCAACAGTTCAGCATCGTAGCTTTCGAAGACGTCGTCTAGGTTCTTTTTCTTGTTTTGGTAATTTCCTGATGTAACGGAGGAGAAACGTTCACCAGCAGCCATCTTCTACTGTCGTCTGACAGATCGCGTTCCGGTTTAACTGCGCATGCGCTACGACAGGTTCCGTCGAATATCGGCCATATAGGCTATATTTAATTAGAAATCGTGTATATGATCCGACCAATGTGATTGCGAGAAATGTTCATGCATATAATAACAGTTATTGTGACCTCATCATCTTATTAGGATTATACACCGCAATGGAGACAATAGATAGACTTATGAATCTTGATCGTCTGATGAGCGGGATCTTAAAAATTCGTTCACGTTTTTGTTGGAGATTGCAATTAAACCCGTCACGGATTTTTTATTTTATCTCGCCAGAGGATTATTATATTGAAAAAAAATTCTTAAGTCTCGTTCAACCACGGAATTAGATTAGATCTAAGTCCGTGCGTTCAACAGATAATAGAATAACATATATAAAACCACCAGTCATAAACCAGCAATAACTTACAATACAAAGTAAAATACAGCCCCTGAACTAGCATACCTGTGGTCGTATATCTATAAAGATCGCTGGGGATAATCATTAGAACCCAAATAACAGCATGTGCGGCTTTATAGAGATCAGAGGGATACGCCTGTAACGGAAACGGCCTATCAAAGGCAGGGAAACTATTAAATCTGTGTTATATCACCGCGTCTGGAGATATTTTTATTTCTTACTTTTCGATAATATATCTTAACTCTTGAAATTGTTTGATCCAATATACCAGACCTCTCTCACATTATTCTCAGCGTTGCGTAACCTCGGTTCCCAAAATGGAGTATATACACATTTTTCTTCAATTTAAACACGCTTTATAGCATTTATATATCTCTGAAACAAAAACTGACGATACATGACAAAAGCTGATTTTATTAATCCGCATGGTCCTGATTTTAAGTGTTTCCAGTGACGTTAGCAAAGCAGCACTTCCGGTCGCGAGTATGGCAAAATTCATTTTAATATGGGACTTAACTTGACATATTTTATTAACCAAAATTGGAAAATAGGATTTGGCACAAATTATTATAACTTATGAAGCCATCTCCTTACAACAATAATTCAAAACAACAGATGATGATATAGACTGTCAATCACAATTCATAATAGTATGAAGCGATTCTTAAAGTTTAATTCACATACACATACAATAAAAAAAAAACATATTTTAAAGGCAAGTTCATAATCGAAACATGTTAAAATTTTCCACTAGATCTAATAAAAGTTTGCACTTGTTTGAATACATCACAATTTGTATCCAAAGCCAGATTTTCATTTCCAAACAGTAATAATCTCAACGTTAAATTTATATGATCAAAAAGTATAGTACGAGCATTTGTATAAGGGTGACATTCAAAGAAGAAGTGGTAGGCATTTTCGCAATGGTAGCCACAATTTATACACTTATAGGAGTCTTGGACCAAGTTTGCACGGTAAAGATCAAATGCATAACAATATGTATATATATCTTAGCAAATTGTTAATAATTAATAAGTTAACGGGTTTTTTTCTCTCTCAAATCTCAGTCCTTCTAACTTAACAGCAGAGCTAAGTTGAAACCCTCTCTGTATCGTTTCGTTACTATATAGAAACCATGAATCTGACATGTATCAACAGAGTAGCTAATGGACACACTAACCGCTTATCAATGGCGGCATGTTTTCGCCGTCAACTGCAATCTTCACCTCTTCTGTGGCCCGGGGGAAGTGACACGTGTTTAGGTTTCCGAGATGCAGTGTTTACATAGAGGCCATTTTCCAATTATCGTTTTTGGCACCTTCTCCATGGCCTCTCCACCAACAACAAATCTGCGAGCTACTATTGATACTAATTCCCGCCATATTGATACATTCAATTTTTCCGTGGAAACAGATGTTGCGGATATGACGTCAGTCAATGTTTGATGTTTTTTGAGTCTGGAAACTCACTCCGAAAAATGGCTTATCTTGCAAGTTTCCATAGGAAGATCTTCTTGAGTTATTTTCTCAGTATATTAGACAAAATGTGTAATCTAATCGCATGGGGCATAAATGTACATATAGATTCACTGGTGTATTATCATAACATTCCTTAAAAGTCTGACTTCTCTTGTTTAATGGCAAAATATTTCGCCTTCTCTCCGCTCTAGCCCCTCATTTTGGCCTGAATCACATTTCACATGATGACCGTAAATTTTATAAGATGTGTGTCGTGTAAAAATTAGCACTCAGAGGAAAAAAAAGGGTTTTTTGGGTTAATTTCTCATTCAATTAACTCATTCACCCCTGAAAATCCATAACGAACTATTCCAACCTTTGCGTTGGAAGAGTTTAAATGTGTTATTCAGGGGTGAATGAGTTGAAGGCCAAGTCCACTGTTACTAACAGCAATCTTAGTACTGTGTCGTGATACGACGTTCAACGTTTGGTTACTGCGCGGAGCGCCATCCAGCGCCATAATCTGCTAAACATTGATACATTCTTCAAAATAAAGCTTTTTAGTGTAATTTTCCCTTTCA